GGGGGCACATTTGGGAGACCTCCAAATACAAGGCCTCTGGTTTCAGGCGGTTCTCGCTCTACACATCAATGTCAGAGAGCTGAGTGAAGTGTACCTGGCATGCCAGACTTTCAGAGCCCACCTAGCAGGGAGGTAAGTATCAGTCATGACAGACAACACCATGGCGATGTTTTATATCAACAAATGGGTGTGCACGTTCCTCTCCCATGCCAGGAAGCCCTCATGCTGTGGGATTTCTGTGTAGAGCACTCGATACACCTGCAAGCATTGTACCTCCCTGGAGTACTGAATGAGTTGGCGGACCGTCTCGGCAAGTCATTTCACAGCCACGAGTGGTCCCTTTTCCCGGACATAGTAAACTCAATCTTCCATCAGTGGGACTTTCCCCAGATAGATCTGTTCGCTACAAGACGCAACAGGAAGTGTCAGCAGTTTTGCTCCTTTCTCAGTCACAGCCCAGGCTCCATCACAGACACGTTCCTCCTCCCATGGGGAGGCTGTCTCCTATACACATTCCCACCTGTTCCTCTCATTCACACGGTGCTCCTAAAGCTTCGGAGGGAGCGAACTTTGGTGATATTGAAAGCTCTAGCCTGGCCCCACTAACACTGGTACACATGACTCCTGGAAATGTCTGTGGAAGCCCTAGTTACCCTGCTGCTCTTCCTGGATTTAATAACGGAGGATCACTGTTGTCTCCAACATCTGAACCTTGAGTTGCTCCACCTCACAGCGTGGAAGCTCCATGGCTGAACCCAGTGGAGCTTTTTTGCTCTGATCAAGTTAGACAAGTTCTCCTTGGCAGCAGGAAACCCTTTAGGAGAACTACCTACTTTGCCAAGTGGAAGAGATTTTCAATCTGGTCGGCGCAGCACCATTAGTCTCCGACGCTCGCCTTGGTGCCACTAATACTGGACTATCTTCTCCACCTGAAGCAACAGGAGCTGTCGATGTCATCAATAAGGGTGCACTTGGCTGCCATCTCCGCCTTCCATCCAGGCACAGAGGGACACTTGGCCTTTGCCAACCCATTGGTCAGCCGTTTCCTTAAAGGTTTCAACAGGCTATACCCGCAGGTCCGACAGCCTGTCCCGGCTTGGGACCTCAATTCGATCCTATCCAGACTTACGGGGCCGCCATTTGAGCCCTTGGCGACATGCTCCCTGCTCGCGCGCGCGCTCGCGCTCTCTCTCTCTCTCTCTCTTTTACAAGGTGGTGTTTCTGGTAGCGATACCTTTAGCTGAGCTCAGGGCCTAACATCAGAGCTCCCTTACACTGTATCCTATAAGGACAAGGTTCAGCTCAGGCCTCATCTGGCTTTTCTCCCGAAGGCTGTCTCCCAATTTCACATCAACCAGGGACTTCCTACCCTAAGTCGCACTCCAGGGCCAGGGAGCAAAGGCTTCACTCATTGGATGGCCGCAGAGTGCTAGCCTTCTACGTTGAGAGAACAAAACTGTTCCGAAAGTCCATCCAGTTATTCGTAGCAGTGGCCAACAGAATGAAAGATCTTCCTGTCTGCCCTCAACGTATCTCATCATGGATCACGTCATGCATTCGGGAGTGCTACAACTTGGCAAAGGTACCCACTCCTTCGATCACTGTGCACTCCACCAGGGCTCAGGCCTCTTCAACGGCATTCCTGGCGCAGGTTCCCACCCAGGAAATTTGCAGAGCAGCAACGTGGTCCTCCATACACACATTCACCACGCACTATGCGATTACCCATCAAGCCAGAGACAATGTGGCCTTTGGAAGAGCGGTGCTCCAATCAGTGTACGACTCCGACCCCTCCTTCTGAACTTGGGCTTGTGGGTCACCTGATTGGAATTGACATGAACAAGCACTCGAAGAAGAAAAAACTGTTACTCACCTTCTCGTAACTGTTGTTCTTCGAGATGTGTTGTTCATGTCATTTCCAATACACACACTCCTACCCCTCTGTCGGAGTAGCTAGCAAGAAGGAACTGAGGGGGTGGTGGGTCGGCAGGGCCCTGTATTGGGTTCCATGAAGGTGTGACTCCAGGGGGCGCCCAGGCCGACCCTACGGACGCTGCTAAGGGAAAAATTGGAGTCTTGCGAGCTGCAAGTGACTCTTTAATGTGTCTTCTGCTGCTCTTTGCAGCACATGGTATTAAAACACTGTGTGATTTAGTTATTAACCAATTGTAGTTGATAAAATATTTTTTATTACAAATATTTGCACAATAAAAAATGAAAAAGTCAAAGCATGAAGGGGTATATGAATGTTTATCATGTCTGACACAATTACCTTGCTATGCCGGCTACTACAGTGTCATGCAAACGCCTGGTCTCACTTTCAGGTGACATAAATAAGAAGAGGGCAGTATTATCTCCCATAAATGTAAACTAGGGTTACCATATCTCGTAACTAAAAAAAGAGGGCCCTCCACGGGCCCTGGCCCCGCCCATTTCCCCACCCCTAGCCCCGCACCAACTCCGCCCCTTCCCCACCCTAACTCCGCCCCCTCCTCCCTCCCACTCCCAGCCAGGGAGAAAAGGCTGCCCCAGTGCTACCGGCTTCAGGGTTTGCCGGGCAGCCCCCAGACCCTGCGCCCCCAGCCGGCGCTTCCCCAGCGCAGCTGGAGCCTGGGAGGGGAAGCGCCCAGCTGGGGGCGCAGGGTCTGGAGGCTGCCCGGCAAACCGTGAAGCCGGTAGCGCTCAGGCTTTGGGCAGCCCCTATGCCTCTGGACCCTGCGCCCCCAGCCGGGCACTTCCCCTCCCGGGCTCCGGCGGCACAGCGTCCGGAGGCACGGGGGCTGCCCGAAGCCGGTAGCGCTCGGGCAGCCCGGCTCTTAAACAGAGCCGAAGAGTCGGGGAGGAGCAGAGCCGCCATTTTCCCGGACATGTTCGGCTTTTTGGCAATTCCCCCCGGACGGGGGTTTGACTGCTGAAAAGCCGGACATGTCCGGGGAAAAAGAGGACGTATGGTAACCCTATGTAAACAAACTTGTTTGTCTTAATGATTGGCAGAACAAGAAGTAGGATTGGGTGGACTTGTAAGCTCTAAAGTTTTACATTGTTTTGTTTTTGAGTGTTATGTAAAAATAAAATAAAAAAAAATACATTTGTAAGTTGCACTTTCATGATAGAGATTGCACCACAGTACTTGTATGAGGTGAATTGAAAAATACTATTTCTTATCTTTTTTTATAGTGCAATATTTGTAATGAAAAATATAAAGTGAGCACTATACACTTTATATTCTGTGTTGTAATTGAAATCAGTATTTGAAAATGTAGAAAAACATACAAAAATATTTATAATAAATTTAAATTGGTATTCTATTTAACATTGTGATTAAAACTGAGATTAATTGTGACTATTTTTTAATCTAGTTAATTTGTTTTGTGTTAATCACTTGAGTTAACTGCGATTAATTGACAGCCCTAATGAATATATAGTACTATAGTAAATGAAACAATGAATCACACTCCTGTGGCTCTTTTGAGCAGTAACTCCTCACGTAAAGTCGTCCCGGTTAACGTTGTTTGATTATGTTGCTGATCAGTTAGGGAACATGCTCGTTTAAAGTTGCGCAATGCTCCCTTATCACGTTGTTTGGCAGCCGCCTGCTTTGTCCACTGCTTGCAGAAAGAGCAGCCCATTGCAGCTAGCTGGTGGGGGCTTGGAACCAGGGTGGACCAGCAGCCCCCCATCAGCTCCCTGCTCCCCTAAGTCCCCTGTGCAGCAGCTGCCCAGCAGGCTATCAATTGCCGGGCAGTTCAGCTGTCCCTCCCCCCACTGCCATGTGCTGCTCCTGCCCAGAGCCGTGGAGCTGCTCCCCAGAGCCTCCTGATTGCTGGGGGAGGGGGGGAGAAGAAGGGGGCTAATATCAGGGTGTCCCCGTCCCCCCTGCTCTTGCCACTGCTTACCCTATCTCCGTAGAGCAGGGCATGGGACACGACAGGGCTCAGGACAGCCCAGAGGAAGCTTGCAGGCAGCATCTGCTGTCTCAACTTCCTGATAAAGGCAGTGTACTTAGAGTGGGGTCAGGGTACTTAAAGGGGAAATGCGACACACACACACACCCACACACACCCACCCACCCCACTCTCTCTTTCGTGTGTCTGCCATGCTGTCTCCTCTCCCTCCATTCGTGCTGCCTTGTAGAGTGTGAGGCTACATTAACAACAATGTGTTAACTCTTGAGGGCTCAGCTGAGTTCTAGTTCATCATTTAACAGTAAGGCATTCCCTGGGAAATATCCCACCCTCTGACTCCACCACCTCAACTAAGCTTCACAATCATTGCTGTGTGCAGTATTAAATTGTTTGTTTAAAACTTATACTGTGTATCCATATATATAACATGTCTTTTGTCTGGTGAAAATTTTTTTCCTGGAACTTAACCCTCCCCCCCCCTTACATTAATTCTTATGGGGAAATTGGATTCGCTTAACATCGTTTCGCTTAAAGTCGCATTTTTCAGGAACATAACTACAACGTTAAGCGAGGAGTTACTGTAATGTTGATCGCTAATTTGGGTCCTGAACCACTGAGGTCTAAATATCACTGCGTTAAGCTATCATCTTACAGGCTTTCTTGCATTACAGCTGTAACTTATACCTATATCTTACCTTATACCTATGCTTTACTTGGAGCCAATCCCTATTCCTGTAGGCTACATAACGAGGCCCTTTCAGGTTAAAATTTTCAGTGTCACGTATTGAATAAATCTTGTCAGCTGAACATTAAGACTTGAGGAATTACTGTAGATGGTGGATGTGTAGTGCTTGGATAGCTCTCACCTGATCATGTTATTGTTTTAAGTCTTAATTTGATTTTCTCTTGTCCATTACAAATAATATGCATTTTTTTCATACATGTCTACACATACAGAAGTTAACATATTTTGTTTAATCCTTTGGGTATTTAAAACTTGTAGTGTTCTAGTCCAATACGTAATAAGGGTGCAACTAGGGGCTATAATTCTTGTTTTTACCTACATTATTAAAAATATTTATTTTGTTTTCACAGAAAATTGAAAATCTCAAAGAAACAACCAATGTAAGTTTTTGTTGTTGTTAACTTTTGCATCTATTATATGTAGACTTTACAGCGAAAAATCTTATATTTCATCCTGTTTAAATCTTTAAAGTTCTAAAAAGTATGACAGCAGAAAAAGAATTTGCTGCTTTACAGCTGTGCAGGAACCAGATTTTTTGTTTCATGGGGAGTTTCAAAATTTTGAAACCTTACATTCCATTTCAGAATGGAAGAAAATTTTTTAAACATTTCCTGAAAACAAACATTTTGAAAATTTTTGTTTCAGGACATTTAAAGTTTGTTTCAGATTTTGACTTTGATATTTTTATAGTAAAACAAAAAAGAAAATATCACTTAGAAACAGAAAATTGAAATGGTCCATTAAAAAAAGGTTTAATTGAAAGAACAGAGTTTCCCAATGGAAGAACATTCCGTTAGAAAATGTCTGACCAGCACTAGTTATTTGTTAGCAAGTGTTTGTCTTTTTCTAAAAAGGCCCAGTAAGGGTCTTTCTGTATAACTTTCATGCCATTGAGAACCCACTTCTCCAGATCTTCTTTCTTGGGCTTTTTCATGTGGTCCTTTTGTGGTTTTCCTCCAACCTTGCTGACACTTCATTCAGAGATACCATTGTTAGGTTGTTTTCCTTCTTCCTGTTCTGTTGTTGTTGTTGTTGTTGTTGTTGTTCTCTGTGGGTCTGTCCTTATCATTTCTCCGGTTTTCCTCTTGGACTTACCTCAGGTAAACTCAGCTATTCATAGTGATCTCGCATTGTGACTCTTCTGACACTCAAATGTACCTGTCTGTTCCTAACCTCTTCCCACTTTCTCTGGGTATCTCTTCCTGCTTGTCTCCTTATCAATATTCCCACCCTTTCTGATTTGTCAAGTTGTGGGGTTACCTTTGATTTCCTCCCTTTCCACTTCTCATATCATATCCAGGCTTTCACCAAATCTTGTTTCTGTTTCTATTAAAGTTTCTAACATCTGTCCCCCTCTCTCTATCCCTGCTGTTGAATCGCTGGTTCATCCCTTCCCCAGTCTCCCTGACTCTCCTTTGTTCAGTATACCCAAAGTTCAGCAGTTAAAATTGTGATCTGCTCCCTCCCCATATCCCCTTTGAGATCATGTCAAAATCCCCCCTCCACAGATCCATTCACTGGCTTATAAGTAAAGTTGATGTTTGAACTTTTATACTGCACACTCTCTCCCATCACTCCCCACTGCCAACCTTTACTGTTTCCCCACTTCCTTGCTCCTTTCATCATCTCCTCCCCTGTCTCACCTTCCTGCCATTTTAACATGCTGCTCCCTTCAATAGAGACAACAGCCCTGTTTTGTGTAAAAACTTATCACAGTCCTTCAAACCCACTTCTTTCACCTTGCTTTCCACCTTTGACTCCCTCTCTGGTACAGTCTGCTCCTCTCCTGTTCCTGTCTCTCAGAATTTCCGTAAAAATATCAGAACTTGCATGATTTGCTCATTATCTAGAATTTGCTCCTCCTTTCTCTTTTCCCTCCTCTCACCCTCTTAACTTAATCTTTTCTGTCTCCATAATTTAAGTTATGGCTTTGGAGTAGGGGTTATTTTGGTGGTGGTGGTGGTTTAACTGCATTGGTACGATATTTACATAGAGGCTTATTCATAAATTGTTTCTCTTGAAAGTTTTAAATTGGTTTCCCTTCCCTCTTGTTATATGTTGCTTGTATGGTTTCTTTTAACATGCCATATTGACAATTCTTTGCATGTTCTTTTGTAAACAGGAAGAGGAGAACAATAGATTGTGGCTCTACCAACCATGAGTGGCCCTTCTTAACTCCTTAGCCAAAACCTTTTAGTTAATGTTCATAATGATCAATACATTTTTGATAATAGCTTGTATTTTACAGCATTTGTGAGAGAAAGATATTAAATGTTTTATTTCCTCCTCCTAGAGTATGGTAGAATCAATAAAACACTGCATTGTGTTGCTGCAGATTGCTAAAGTAAGTATACTGCTATCTGTTCTGAACTTCAAATTGTAAGGTACTCTCACAATTGTGAAAACTTGTATTCTCTTTTTTACGTTTGCTTAAAATACAAGTCAACACTCTTTTGAAACAATTCTGGTTATATTTTAAAATATGCTTGTGATGAATTGGTTCATGGTGCTGTCTGATTTTAACTTTTGTTACTGTATTACAGAGTTCTGTAGGAAATAAATGTGTGTGCAGTTCATAGTCAAAACCAGACATTACTCTAGCCTTTGTGCTTTTTGACAATAAGTCATACTTATACAATTATAAACTGTTATTTGTTTTGAAGCTTTTAGATGCAACAGTTTCACTTCATAATAACTTGCAAATGTTCTTCGATATGTGGGTAAAGTTTATTATGTTGCAAGAAGAAAGCACTTCCTAAGTGTGAGCACTTGTAAGGTTTCTTGAGTAGATAAGCAAGAAAAGTCACCGTTGGCTATTGTGTCATAAAGTTTGCTTCCTGTTGTTTCTGAGTTGATTCTCAGAATGCATTAATAAAAGTAATAATGGCAATGTAGCCAGCAGATCAAGGAGGTACAACTAAGATGATCTTGTGGTGAGTTCAGATTTTTATGTCTGGTGAGAAGCAGGATGGCAGAAATGATGTTTTTTTACTTGTCTGACAGTGTTAGCTTATTCTCTGTCCCTGGTGAAGAACCTGATGGTTTATCCACTCAAAGTAACGCGATATAAATTATAAAATCAATAGCTAGAGTGTTATACCACAATAACTGTAATACTACCAGGATTGCTTCCAATAGGAACAGAGTGTGGTGACCTGCTGCAGCCCCAGGTCACTGACTGTCACTGATGTTGCTTTGAACCTGCTTCTGAGTTGCATGTAACCTGGGATACTTTTTCTTTGTCCTCCATACTTGCCTTGGGGTACAAGTGAACAGGACACCTCCTCCCAACCTATTAATTTCTTGAAAGGGTATTTTCAGGTAGTTTAGGCCCAAAATATAGGTTTTACAAAATCCAACCTTTTTAAATGCCACTCCACTTCTATATTAAAAGTATTACAGTGAAGAGGGCTTTCAGTTTGACTAATGCAATGTTATTAGTCATGCAGGGAGACCCAGAAAGTGAAATTAGCAATAAAAGTAAATGAAACTGACCACTCTACTTTGCACTTCAAACAGGTTGGACAAGAATGAAAACAGCATATTTGATTAAAGGGAAAATCAGATTGTATTTTTAAAAATCCCTTTTAATATCTAAATTCTGATTCAACAAGGTTCTTACAAGACCTTAATGTTTTATTAACACAGATAAGAAATTTAAAAGTTTTTTTGATTTCCAACCTCACATTGGGCCTTTTTGAAGTAGAAAATTATATTACTGTATATGAAAATAAAATACAGGAAATGCACTCTGGCTTTTCCACACCACTTTGGAAAGTGTTTGGTATGCCTCTTAAAACCCGTTTGAGTATTTAAAGTGTAATTTCTTAAAGTTGTAGTTTTTTGGGACTTACTTGCTCAGTTTAGATTATGTTCATTACAACACTGTCCAGTTTACTGTCTTACTTGCTGCTGGCATATAATACGCAGGCCCCTATTCTGCAAAGAGTTGAGCATGTGCATAAGTATTTGCAGGACTGAGGCCGTGGCAACCTAAGGACGCCAACTTGTAGTGGGGCTCTTGAATACTTTAAAGAAAGCATTAGCTGTATTCTAGATCAAAATTATTTTTAAAAAGTTTTCAAAGATAGTGCCCCTTCTGGGCTTAATCCTGTAGTGCCAAGTACATCCTGTGATGTGTTGATGCCATTGGGAATTGGGAGCACTTGGAACTTGGCAGGATCCGATCCCTCTGGATTTAGGGTCAGTTCAGGATTTATGTGAAATTCAGTATGCTCAACTGTCGTCTTAGTTAACTTTTTTCCCAAATCATTTTCAAGGATAATGTATGAACAGCTTTTATTTCTGTCCTAGAGGAGATAAAGCGAGAATGTCCTTAATTGCTAACCAGACAAATTACAGTCAGACTAATTTTAGGAAAACGGTTAAATTGGTAGGGGGGAAAATTGCATTAGCTGCCATGTTTATATGGAATAACAATATTTTACAAGTTGCAAAATGATCAAATTTATGTAACTTTGGTGTATTTAAAAATATTGTTACAGTTCAGATTGGATTTATAGTTGTTGTCTCAAAGGCTATGTAAAATTTGTTCCATGTAAACCTGGAGTTAGAAAAGCCTATTCCTTGGGGGTTTTATTTGTAGATTAAGTTTAGTCCAAATCTTGACTTCCCTGTTTCCTTATGAAGAAATGTAAGCTCTTAGTGTTAAGGTGTCGGTTGGAGAAACAGTGTTCCATGTCCCCTTCTGGACTTAAGTTTAAAAACTAAATATTGTGTGCTAAAATTGTTAAAGCATAATTTAAGGTAGTTTGCTATTGTCACATAGGTTCAGTACATACAAAATTTTATACCTGGTTTTCATCCCTGTGTAGCTGTACCATTGCTGACAACGGTGTAAGGTCTAGTGTAGACCATGCACAGGCATATTTAGTACCATGTCATCTAATCCTGTTCAGAGTTAGCTGACGACGTAATGAACATCTAAGCCTGGCTTATGCTATAATTTTCACTGTAAATAGCACAAGTGCAGCAGCACTGCTAAAATGGGCAATGTTTCCTAATGCAGATTCTCCCTAGGAGGCATTGAAACACAACCTTCTTCAAAGTCTGTCACAACTGACTGAATTGGCTCTTTGTCCCTGTTAAATATATAAAATTTCCAGATCTCTCTCATGACCAGGGTGGGTTATGGGGAAGGAGGACAAATATGGCCTATAATCTTCAACTGATACTGATAAAAACATTTGTTCTAGTAAGTGGTTTCTTGGCACTGGAAAAGCCTGAAGTAGTAGCACCCTTATCATGATTGGGGCTCTGTTGTTCTAAGTGCTATACAGGTATAGAGTTCGACACAGTTTGTGCCCCAATGAGCTTACAAATGTAATATTTGCCTTTACTGAATTGGACCAGTGTTCCCTCAAGTCCTTCCTTTAGCATCAGTAACTAAATCGGGGTAGGCAACCTATGGCACGTGTGCTGAAGGTGGCACGCTAGCCAGTTTTCAGTGGCACTCACACTGCCCAGGTCCTGGACACCGGTCTGGGGGGCTCTGCATTTTAATTTAATTTTAAATGAAGCTTCTTAGAAATTTTAAAAACCTTATTTACTTTACATAACAATAGTTTAGTTATATATTATAGACTTATCGAAAGAGACTTTCTAAAAACATTAAAATGTATTACTGGCACGCGAAACCTTAAATTAGAGTGAATAAATGAAGACTCGGCACACAACTTCTGAAAGGTTGCTGACCCCTGAACTAGATGGTGCTCACTTTAATTAAAAAAAAAAAAAGAAGAGAGAGAGAGAATTACTGTAGATTTTGAGTTTTGCCAGCATGTACTCTTTTTTTACACTCATTTATGACTTTTATAAATCATTCAGAGGTAAGTTTTCTTTTAATGTTTGTTTGTTTTATACTGTTACGGACTCACAGATCGTGCCCACTCTTGGCTTCGTGCGGTCCGTGGGGGGTGCCCCTTTCAGTGCGACAGCCCTTCTCAGGGGTCCACTCTCTCTCAGGGTCAGGCCCCTCCACCTCCTGGAGTCGCACCTCTCTGAGCCTTAGCACGTCTGTCTCTGCCGTGGGCCCTCGCTCTGGACCCCCGGGGCCTCCACCCCAGAAGGGGTTAATGCCACCCTGTTCTCTAGACTGGAGTGACTCTCAGCCAGCATAAAACAGGAGGGTTTATTGAGAGTTGAACACAGCACAGGACACTCTCAGGGCCTCAGGCCTGGCCTCCCTCAGCCCAGCACGTCCCAGTCTCTCTGCATCCAGGTGGGCTCTGCCTGCTCCCCCTCTCCAGCCCAGAGCCCCCCTGCTCCCAGCTGGGCATCTGAGATCACCGGCCCCAGGCCCCGCCTATATCCATTGTCTTCTCTCCAGGTAAACAGGGTTGTAAACCGGGGCCTCTTCTCCTCGCTTCTGTCCTCTGGCTGGAACCGGCTGGTCTGGTCACTGGGTCCTCACTCTGCAGCCCATTGTCCGCCCACTGGCCAGAACCGGCTGCGTCTCCTCAGCTGGGCCTCCGGGTCGCCAGGTCACCGGTTGCTGGGGTATCCATCCTCCCGGCCATGGCCATCAGCTGGGTCCCCAAGTCCTCTCTCCGGTCGTCTGCAAAACACACTCCCTCTCCCCCTCACCTCGTTAAACCAGTAATACCCAGGGAAACTGAGTCCCACCCCCTCCGCATGCAAACCATTGAAACTCCACAGAAAACAAGAAAACCCCCCACTTTGTCACATCTACACAAACTGGAAAAAGTTAATTGAACATAGAGAAAATATCCTATTTCCCTACAAGTCCTCCCTCACCATTTTAATTCCTGCCTCCACCATCTTAAACGCCCTTCACATGTACATATAGTTTGTGGCTGCACAGTACTTCTGAATCCCTTTGGAAAGCTACATAGATCTTCTTTTCTTGAATTGGTTTAATTTCTGATGCAAACATTAGCAATGAGTCTGTTCATAGCACTGGGATTTTTGTACAACTGTAAATTTCATTGCATATTGAGGCTAGGTCCATTAATGACTATTAACCAAGATGGTCAGGGACACGACCCCATCCTTCCGGTGTCCCAAAACCTCTACCTGCCAGAAGATGGGACTGGATGATGGGATGGGATCACTCAATAATTGTCCTTCTCTGTGCATTCCCTCTGAAGCATCTGGCACTGGCTGCTGTTGAGAGACCGGTTACTGAACTAGATGGAGCATTGGTTTGACGGAGTATGGCCATTCTTATGTTCTTATCCTTTACTTAAAGCCAGTTTATGGCCTTGTGTCTGAACTGATAGCCCTGAAACTGCTTATTGATGTCACTATTATGCTTCCATTTAGTTCTCTAGTCTATAGACATTTGAGATTCCAGCATTATTCTCTTTCCAAAGCCACAGAGGCAAAATCTGGCTAATTTATTTTCGTAGAGTCATAGGCCAAGGCCAGAAAGGAGCCCTGTTATCATCTTCTCTGATCTCCTGTGTAGCACAGGCCATAGAATTCACCCAAAATAATTCCTAGAGCAGATCTTTTAGAAAAACATCCAATCTTGATTTAGAAATTGCCAGTGATGGAGAATCCACCATGACCCCCTGTAAATTGTTCCAGTGGTTAATTACTCTTAACCTCAAAAAAATATACAATTTACAGGGGGTCATGGTGGATTCTCCATCACTGGCAATTTCTAAATCAAGATTGGATGTTTTTCCCCTTATTTTTAATCTGAATTTGTCTAGCTTCAACTTCCAGCCACTTGATCGTGTTATACCTTTCTCTGCTAGATTGAAGAGCCCTCTGTATAAATAACAACTGAAATTGTCCCACTTTGGTCTTGCACATGTGTAATGGATCTACATATCTTGTGTTCTAGCAATGATATATAATATAACTACACTCGTATGAGGAAAGCAGATATTATGCTTTTACTAAACTAAGCATACCAGCTCTCAGTATCTAGACACTTTTTTTTAGACTCAGTAGTTAGACTTTTTCTTCGAGTAGTGTCGGTGTGGGTGCTTCACTTCAGGTATGCATGTGCCCCTGTGCCTTTGATTGCAGATTTTTTGGTAGCAGTGCCTGTTCTGCCCCAACATGCGCCCTACGTATCCTTGTGCCCTGTACCAAGGCTATATAGGGCTGCATGGGCGAACGGCCCTGAGTTCCTTCTCAACTTGCATATATCTATGAAGACAGCCTTCCTGGTGACTATCACTTCTACTTGAAGGGTTGGAGAGATGAGGGCTGTAGTGGCAGATCCTCTCTTTACTTTGTTATCCAAGAAGGTATTTTTATGACCTCATCCAAAGTCCTTACCGAAGATGTCCTCTGAATCATATCAAACAAACTATTCACCTTCCAGGTTTTTTCCTAAGCCGCATCAGTCTACACAAGAGTCTGCTTTTCATAGACTAGATGTTAAGAGGGTGTTAGCTTTTACTGGGACTGGACTTGGCCATTCACTAAGACCCCTAGACTCCTTGTTTCTATTGTAGTTAGGTACAAGGGAGCACCTGTCTCTACTCAGAGACTTCCTAAACCGATCTCTGTATGTATTATTGCCTGTTACGGTTTCACTGAGGTTACACCTCCCTTAAGATTGACTGCACACTACTAGATCACAGTCTATTTCAGTAGCTCTGCTCAGATGTTACTGTTGCTGAAACCTGCAGGGTTGTAATGGTTCTCTGTGCACACTTTTTCTGATTGCTGTGCCCTAATTCACACTGCAAGATCAGATGTGGCAGTAGGCATTGCATTTCTTTCTTCAATAATTGACTCTGTTCCAAAACTCCCACCTCCTTAAAGTATTACTGCTAGGGAATCACCTAAAGTGGAGCCACCCACAAGGACACTACTTGAAGGAGGAGAGGTTACTCACCTTGCCCAGTAACTGGAATTCTTAGAGATATGTATCCCTGTGGGTTCTCCACTACCCACCCTCCTCCCATGCTTTGGAGCTGCCTCTATGGACTTCGCGGTAGAGAAGGAACGGAGGGTGTCTTGACCACCCAGCCCTATATAGCCTCAGAACAGGGCATGAAGATGTGTAGGGCGCATGTGCGTACAGAATGGGCACTGCTATCAAAAATCTCCGATCAAAGGCACAAGGGCACATGCACATCAAAAGTGGAACACTGACAGGGACACACATCTCGAAGAACTGTCGAGCCTCATAGGATCTTTTCCCTTCCATTTAATGGTATTGGCTATGCTGTTTTATTGAGATGTAGATTATCCTATGTATTTTACTTCGTTATAAACATAATGTTAAGAGATGGCAACAGCAAACTGAACAATCTCTTGTGTCAAAGGAATGACTCATATTAACTGGGTGAGGTTTGTTTTTCTTTTTAAATTAAAACCCAATGGAAACTCATGGACCTTAATATCCCATCATTAAGTATGTAAAAACAGTATGTAAGAGATTGCCAAATGTCAGATATTGAAATCAAGGCACCCTATTACTTAATTATAAATAGCTCATGAAAAGTACAATATTGTCACTTTAGCTATTTGAATGCTTTTTAAATGTGTAACTATAACTGCTGCCTTTTCTTGTATTTTTCTATATGATTTATAGCAGACCTTGTTTGCCAATTTAGCTCTTTTTGTTGTTCATAACTCTGACAACTGGAAATTTGGGGAAATATTCTGCAAATGCCTCTTTAGGTTTATAGTAAATAAAACTACGACTTACAATACATTAAAAAGTTAAAACTAAATTTAGCTGCTTGTGCTGGCTGATATTACAGTACTTATTGCTAGGAAATTTTGGTCAATCCTACCCACATACGGCGCAGAACTGCAAGCTACAATGGTGTTTGTTTGGCTGTTGTTAGTGTGATTCCCCTGATTGTGAGGACAGGATTTTTTTTTTTCCTGAGTCTCATGTTTATATTATAGACTTCGGCAAAAAGTTTCACCTGCGCTAGTAAGGGAAGCCATGCTAAAAGCCTGCTGGCAACTGCTATGATGTATTGTACTTGTGATAGCTAAGATTTTCAAACGCTTCTAAATCCTAATTTCAAAAGTCACTTCAGGTTTTTAAAAACAGGTTGAACCATCCCTAAGAGAAACATACAATATGTATAATTGTCACAATACATAACTGATTAACTATAAAAGATTGATATCTTAATATTTTTAACATTTTTCCTTAAGGACCAAAGTAATGAGGAGAAGCACGCAGATGGACTTATAGTAAGTTTAAATCTAATCTGTTATCTCCCTTTATTTCTGCAGAACATGTGAACAGAGACCTGAATTTCCACTCATTTACAACAAACTTCCTTCTTTCTCTTATTCACTGCTTCAATTGTTTGTTTTTCTTTAATCTGTTGAAACTTTAGCTTCTGCAGTTGGCCATCCATCATTACCATTAGGAAAAATATTTTCCAGGTTTTCTACTTATCTTTTTAAGTGACTGTATTGTGAATGTATCCTTGTTTATTTTAACTTACTTAAATTAAAATCTGCATGTGAACTAGATGTAAGGGGAAATGGTTGGGATAGACATAAGCGTATTATGTGAATCTGACATACTTTATAAATAGAGTACATTTTGTTGCCCACATGCTATAAGTGGGGTGGTGTTTTCGATACGGTATTTTGCATCTGACACACAGAAATGAAAAAAAGATTGTTATTAAGTCTGCTTCAGCCATCTCATTTTTAATATAACTTCTCTCCTTTATCTTTGTTTTCAGTCCTTCATGACTTCTATTTCCTCTTTCTCTGTTTGTCATTGTTTGAGTATGAATCACATCTGTATTGATAGGGGACTGGTTGCTCTAGAACTTAATTTCCTAAAAACTGGATGTTCTTTTCGTTACAATCGACAATGTAATTTCTGATCCCTTAGTCTGTTCCTTCCATGGATTCTGCACTTGATATAATGTGTATTTCTGTTCAACATGTAAAAATTATGTGCACAAGCTTGAGGCATCATGACAAAAGTTATGCTTCTAAGCAATAGGAATATTGCTGAACAGCATAATTCAACAAGAAAAGTTTAACATACCAGTCATAAGTAAGTAGCAAAGTATACATCATTCCACTCCACCTAGAGCCCCTCCCTTCAGCCATCCCCAAGAGCCTTATCAAATTGTAGTGTGTCCTGAAGGCTTAAAAACTCAATCTATTTAAGCCAAAGTGGGAAGTGAATTCCAGAGCCAAGGGACCCTCACAAAGAACACCCCATCTGCCATGGCATGACTTGGCATGGGGAGAGGCAATCTCTCAGGTAGACATCAACACAAGCTGTAGAACTTAAGCAGTTTTATATTTTTCTTCTTCTAAATGTAGCACTTTCAAAAACTGTAGAGACCAGCCCTTGTCAACATGCTTGAGATCTGGAAATGTGTTTATATATGAGCTCATCAGAACTGTGAACCTTTTTTGGAAACTTGATCTCATGACAATAAAGAGCAGAAGCAGTCCAACAAAATGGGTTATTCTAATTGTGAAAGTAAATGTTTATCATGTAGATCTAGATCCGAAGGTGAAATTAGTTTTTCCTTTAAACTTTGAGAGTTTAGTGCTAGCAAAAGGTGCCGAATTGATTGCACAGGAGCTTGAGACTCCCCTCTACAGGTCCGGTGTAAAGCAAAGCAGGCTTGCTCACACTCCCTCTCCACTGTGGAGAGACCTTCTCTGGGGGTGAGAGGGTAGACCAGCTTTTATGCCCACTCAGTTTTTTGTGCATCTGAGGGTGCTAAAAGGGTGTCAGTTGTATAAAGTTTTTCTTACATGGACAAGTGTCTATTTGAACTTTGGAGTGAGTGTAAATGCAGACTTTGTTTAATGCTTGTTGTAAATATGGCATAACATTAAATATATACATATACATAGGAAATTCTCTTTCCTATCTCCATGGGAGGGATATTGCTCTAAATGTAGCAGAACAGTTCTGCTATGTGGGATGGAGGAGAGAGGACATGCAGCAATATCATATAGCAGCACTCTCTCCGCAGTACTTGGGAGGGTTTGGAGATGTGGACAGTGGATCTGTAAGCATTTCCACTGGCTAAAATCCCCAACATAGGTATAGTGTAGAGACATCAACAACTTGTTTATAGACTGAGGTTGTAGTAATAGCCGTGTGTCATGATTTGTGGCTGTCCACATTGACATAGTGGATTGTTTCTAAAATGCCACTGAAATTATGCTGTAGCACAAATTCCACGTCTGGTACGAAACCAGTTCAGAAAGCTCCATTGCCTTCGCAGTAAATCAAACCCGGGTTGACATTGAGTGGGGTCTGAGACAAGATAATTTATTCATCACTTTCTCTGCGGACCATGAAGCTCACCACGTGTCCTCTACCGTAAATCCATCACCCGGTAAACTTATCCACTACGGGCAATGTGAGGGCCGACGACCATGTAGTTGATCAAGCAAGTATTTAATTAATGGCAGATGTGGCATATCATGCAGTTTTGTCATGAGTTTTGCTACGCTTTCCTCTCTGCGATCACTGGGCAGAGCAATATTGCAGACAGCCAGTAACCGTGGTAGAGGAGTAGATTTAAGTGTGCCTGAAATAACACACCTGGTGGAATTTAATTGTATGTTGATCATCTTTGATGGAGACCAACATAAGATCTCAGACTTCTAAACAACTGTGTGAAACAGTAGAAATTCAGGATGGGTAACTCAAATTGAGAAGTTAAAAATCCCTAGTTATAGGCTGAATGCAGTTTTCTGTTTGGAACATTCTGTGGTAAAAATACTTCTGATTCTTTAAAATATGTGTATAATATACAAATATATTACTGATAATACTTCTGCATTTAATCATACGTGCAACTGGTGTGACCTGTTGAAGAGGAACTTTCAGCCTAGTGTAATTTCAAAAATCTATTTAACCCCACATAAATGGCTTCAGTAATGGGTATTCCACCAAAACCTAACACAAACTACTGTCAGTGCACTTTTGTATCATTCATTTTGAAAGCTTCTATCTTCTGCCTAGTTATGGAAGTTTTTTAGCAATATCTACATAAGGCATTGTCTCATGAACACGAAGACTTTTATTAAGAACAACTTTTGCGTTATAGTGGCACAGTAGTACCTTTTTTGCTCAGATTAAGGCTTTCTGTTACAAACCTTGGTTACTGAGCTTTAATATCTTACCTGTTTAAAAACAGATGGGGCTGGCATGTGACCCAAATTGTCAGCCTATATGGAAATTTTGTTTTCTAATATAAAAATTCCAGTCCAGTGGGCCATGTTTGTTGCTGAGCTGTCAAATACTCAGTTCTGTGATATGGTTTCTTGGGGGAGAGTAGAATAATTAATGAAAATTTACAGGTGTGCAGTCCTGGAAATAGACAGTTAATTTGCTACTTGGGGTGGAGAACCTTTGTGACAGTCAAAATATTCACTTTAAAAATTTGCTACTGATAATGTTCAGTAGTTCTTTCATAGTTAGGAAACACACTGAAGGTACTGGGTTAAGTTTTCTACTCTAGTGCTACAGCTTCTTAAAGGTTCTAACATGAGGTTTGAATTTAGATTTAGCCTGTTGAAAGGGGAGAAATGTTTTATTGAGGCTACTGATTTCCATATAGAAATTGGAAAGTAAGTTGAATGAGAGGAAGAGGAAAGATTAAAAAAAATGTTGAAAACTAGATGTTTGCTTTTTGTTTTCTGACATTACAGCCAAATGCATTGCCAGTGAACTCCGATGTACACAGAGGGTATGTCTGTGCCGTGGAGATGTTTACACAGCTGGTCTTGAGCTTGCGCCTAGGCTCTAGGACCCTGCGAGGTGGGAAGGTCCCAGACCTCAGGCTGCAGCCCGAGCTGGAATGTCTGTATGCAGTTAATTAGACCCGCAGCCCAAGCCCCACAAGCCCGAGTCAGCTGGCACAGGCCAGTTGTGGGTGTCTAATTGCAGTGTAAACGTACCCAGAAGGTCTTGTTATATTAATTTTTAACTGTTCAAGGAATGATAGTTTTGTATCCCTAATGCAAAGAGAGGGAACTGAGTCTAAACAAAAGTAGTAATGGATTCTTAACTATCGCATATAAACTGGTCCTGTCAGCACTAGCTGTAGAGAAGCAATTTCTCAGAACCGTAGGAAGCTGCAGATTTCTCAACATTAGAAGGAGGAGAGCAGCTTCAATCTGAGCCAGGCAAATAACTGAATATGAATAACTTTGCTATCTTCAGTAGTCCACTGCCACCTAACATAACTAATACTCATTGAACTCTTTTACCACTAGATAAGGAAAAGGGAAGAGGGGGAGGCTATTACTGCATCTAGCCTGCATCAAAATGTGAAGGTCCCTAAACATAAAGGGGAGTGAAGTAATAGGCTAAAGTAATGAGCATAGGCAGTACACCTCTACCCCGATATAACGCGGTCCTCCGGAGCCAAAAAAATCTTACCACGCTATAGGTGAGACCGCGTTATATCGAACTTACTTTGACCCCCCTGCTACTTGTCCCCTGACCGCCCCTTCCAGAGACCCCCGTCCCTAATCACCCCCAGGACCCCACCCCCTACCCAACCCCCCCTGCTCCCTGTCCCCTGACTTCCCCAACCCCTATCCACACACACCCACCCCCTGACAGGCAGTAACCCGCATGGGTGGGAAGCAAAGCAGCCTGGCCCCAGCCAGCTCCACTCTGCAAGCTCCCAGCTGCAGCGCTCCGCTTCCCATTGTCGGGGAGGTTGGGGAAAGGACCCCCCTCCCACCCCCGTACTCACTGGCAGCGGGAAGCGGAGC